AATAATGTACTCCAATAATTAAATTTGAATTAGCTCCACGGCTCGAAGGCCGTCCCAAAAGGGTTATTGAAATAAATTACACCTAATGAACCGCGCAGAATTTTCTTACACTTAGCGAAGGGGGTGACGGAAAACTGCCCTGCAAGAACAGTGACTATCATTTGACAAATCATTTGAGTAACAAGACTGATCGAGATTTCTGTCTGTGGCTACCTACAAGTTTCTATCAAATTCTAAAGGGCAGTGTGAAAGATCTGATGGAAAATTTTTGTGTACGTGTGATGCTTCATCTCCTTCTAACATATACGTTTTGGCATATTGCTAGACTGCCCTACAAGGCGCGATTGACAGAAACTCCAACACATTCACAACGAAAACTAACACATATGCAAAATTTTATATGTTAGTTTGGCCCTGTACCCTACAAGAACACTACGCTTTATATAACCAATCATGTAACGCAGAGCTGTAACGTAAATGCATGTTATACTCCCATAGAATGTTTACGTTAATTTCCTAAGGGCGATATGAAAAATCTAACAGGATGTTTCCTGTACGTGTGATTTCTCGTCTCTTTCTAACGCAGGTATAACCAAATTATGTGAAGCGTATACCTGTGCTCTTTACTCCCATTATAAATGTTGAAGAAACATGTTATGTATAACAAGTTTAGCGTAACGTATGGAAATATTATGTGTAACGAGTTAGGCATAACGTGGAAGCTTGTTATGAGTGACTAGTTAAGCCTAACGTATGGAAACGTTATTTGTAACTAGTGAAGCCTAACGAAAGAAAATGTTATGTGCAACGAGTTAGGTATAACGTGAAAGAATGTTATGTGTGACTAGTTAAGCATAACGTAAAGAAACGTTATTTGTAACTATTGAAGGCTAACGAAAGAAAATGTTATGCATAACGAGTTAGGTATAACGTGAAAACATGTTATGGGGAACTAGTTAGTCATAACGCACACATTAGTTACACATAACTGCCATACAAGAAATTATAATTTATAAACTTATAAACTTTCGAGTTTTGTAATAAATATTACAAATCATTTTATTATATTTTTGTTTAATTTGAACACAAAGGTATGTACATTCTTATACCACATTAAATTAAGATTTATGTATGTAGATACACTTAACAGCAAAAGTCTGCATACACCATTACTTTTTTAAATTTCACAATATTTTTCAAGCTAAATTTTTTTGTTATTTTTTTTTATAAAAGTATGGATTATCGTTAAAAAAATGCCATATAAACCAAGGTTTCAAACTTTAAACAAAATTAAGGAAAATTCAACGAATCGCAATCACAATTTTCAACTTTTTAATCAGATCAACTTCATGTAGTATGTTGTTGTTTTCTGCACGCGTTGTTTTCCGACAAAAAAAACGAATACAAAAAAAAAAAAAAACCATAACACTGCGTAGTAGAAATTTGATTACATAAATGCAAATTTTGATGTAAAATCGTTGAATTTTTCTTATCATAATTTGTATAAAACTTGAACCTTGGTATAATATGATTTTGTTTTAAGCATGATCGATATTTTTATAAAAAAAATAACAAACAAATTTTAGCTTGTAAAATATTGTGAAATTTAAAAAAGTAATGGTGTATGCAGACTTTTGCTGTTAAGTGTATATTAAATTTAAAAATTAAAGATGAAAATTCATTTTCAAACGTTAAATGGAACAAAGCTTACATAAAAACAGGAACAATAAGAAAAAGGAATAATAAGAATATAGAAAAAAAGCTATTTTTTTTGTTTTTTTAGAAATTTTTTTTGTCTCAATCGATTGTGACTGAGCCCAACCGATTTTCTCATGTTTTTTTCAAAGCCGGCAACGCCAAGCGTTTTGTAAATATCTGTAAAGGAAAAAGGAGAAAGTTAAGAAAATGCAGATATCTTTAATAATGTAGATGATATACCACTTAGCACTTTGTCAACCAAAGTCAGCTCCGCCAGGGCACGCTTTTGCCACTTACCCTCCCAGTTGAAACTATATAACAATTTGTCTGTAAACAAATGTTTGACTACAACGTCAACGTCGTCAGAGAAAGCTTTTATTTTGAGGAGATACGTTTTCTGAAATATAAACATGATTAAAAATTTTAAATTTCAGATTGAAGTGTTCAAGTCAATACCATAGCTTGGGTGTAGTTCGGGTCTGTCAACTTTTCCTCCACTTCGAGTACGGCGGCCATCGTTGCCATAGGCATCATACTGGCTATTTCGTCCCTTATTGGGTCGCTAGCTTCGCCTGTCATCTTGCAGACACATACCTCTATTTTTTTTGTTGCTACCTTCACTTCGGACAACATTTTGTTGTGGGCAGCAAACTCCGCTTTTGTGACCATCTAGATGTTATAAATAATACATTTATACATGTTATAATAAATAATACACATAAAGTAATATGAAAAAATTAAAAAACAAACCTCATTATTTAATCTTTGCTCCAGCTGGTTTTGCTTCTGCACTACTTCTCTCAATAGCCTCAATACGTTTTCAAAGTACTCGGAATCGACTATAAATCCGGTAGATGCGTCATCGGTTGGTGCGTTCTCAATTGGTGTGTTGTCAGTTGTCGGTGTTGTGTGTTCGTCCTTAACATGTTCGCGATCGTACTTCCGCTTCATGATTTTTGAACCTTTTACTTGTGTCGATGCCATTGCTGGGTTGATTGTAGATAATATATATACATATATATTTACGTATTTGCATGGAAAAAAATATTATGTACAATATATTTGTTTTTTCAAATTAAAACATATTAGTTTGAAAATTCGTGGAAAAGTTGATGCAGAAGCGGAATAAGTATGAAGTGCCCTTGACGTGGAATGCAAAAGTATTTATGTTCAAGCGATTCTTTTGTTACTTCAATTTCTTCATCGCTTAACTGACTTGCTAAGACAATACCTAATCCAGAGTATGATTCCAGTGGAAGTTCAAATAAATTTTCCATTACTTTAAAATTTCGACAAACTACTTTTTCCGTTTGAGAATATTTTACAATTTTTACTGGTCCTAATTCTTTACAAAAAGAGAAGGAATTTCTTTCTTTTTTAACATCTATTTCAAAAGAATTAAATTTTTTTGAAGTCTCGAAATATAGTTCTTGTCCTTGCCTTTCCCCAAGTCTCAAATACAGTTGTTGGAGAATTTTGTTCGGCTTATTAATAAGTTTTTTTAGATATTGCATATGATTTTCATATTTATAAGCTGAAAAATTGTCAAGGGGACCGTACTGTTTCACACAATCTGTTAAATGTAGTAAACCATGAATGTTGAAACTGATTAGCTCTTCGCCGTACAATGCGCCAAAATATAATACAAAATCTTGAAGCATTTTTTGAGCAACATCAGCTTTTACTATGCATGACCTTTCGTTAGAAAGAATCCTAATTGCAGCATGTAACAATAGGAAATGGTAATACACGTCATCATCAACACAATCTTCCAAAACAAATATGCCCGTATATAACAAAAATTGACGGAATTCTGTTGCTTTCCAATTTTTAAGTTCTCCCAGATTTCTCGATATTCTACCGAATTCGGAAGGAACATGCTCAGCAAGGAAGTCGATTCTTTCGTTCATTTTCGAAATATTGCCGTTCTTAATGATTAATTTTAACAATTTTTTAACTACACCTAAATCTACTAGGTGCATGCAGTCAAGGGGAAATTGCGAAACCATATTGAAGTCGGCTTTCTCTAAATTACTTTTTTGTCCCTTGAACTCAGGGCTATGGTGCGACAAATCTGCTCGCAAGGTAAAGGATTCGTCTGTTCTTCGCTCACAAATTTCCTTTGAAAAGGTCATCCTTCTCTGGATATATTTGCCCTCTTGATTGCATTTTGGGCAACCACTTCTTCCGTTAAAATATTGCACACCACTCACGAAAGATCGAGCTGGGGAATCGCAAGTAAAAAGGCGCACGTCGAATTTTTTTACATTTTCTTCCGAACCGACTCTCAAGCCACTTGCTCTTAGTGTTTTTACTTCTTCGCAAAAGTCTTTCATGAAGTCGTCGATCTTTTCTGGTTTTTTAAGTCCAGAGAAGCATGCTATTAAAAATGGACGCTTTTCACTAAACCCCACGATCGACCCCAGAATTGGCCATAAAACTCGATTTGAGCTGCTAAATGGGCTAAGACCATCGATGCCTACATCTATTAGTACTTCAGATTTTTTATTTAAATAGTGGAAGGAGTCTGAATCAAAATGATTTTGAATACCCATATACAAAAAGTCTCCATTTGGAATGGACTTTACTTCAACTTTCCGTCTATGGGTACTCAAAAGAGTCTTTGCGGAAAGCGGCAAGTCGCTTACTCCTATACGCCTCAAAGTTTGGAGCAAATCGTCTAAGTGATGTTGGGAAATGTTGCTTCGTAATGCCCATGCTTTTAATTCTACACTTTTTGCTTTTTGGTTATTCGCCATAGCTACTAGATCTCCTAGTTCACATTCGGGCACAACATCTTCCCCACTAACACTGGACGCACTACCCACACATTCGGCATCATGTGTTTCCATATAGGCACATTCACTTACTCCACTTCCCGTAGCACCAATTTCCTCAAATTCAGTTGCTTGAGCAAGTTCAAAGAGCCTTTTATATTTTTTTACGTTTTCCTTATAGATTTTCTTCTCCTTGCTCAAGCAATTAGCAAAATGTCGTTTTTGCATTTTTATATTCACTTTATACTTGCCTTTAATCCTGGAGTGTTTTTTTTCTTTAATTTTATTTATTTTCGATGTAAAATACAAACTTTCTGATATCAGATGCAACCGCACGCTTCACAAAATCTTTTAAATTAAAATTTTAGGTTAGCTTCACCTGCAAAATGGCAAACGTCAAGAATGGGAATAAAGAATAAATAAGAAAATTGAAGAATTTTCCATATTGTGGTCTCTTTTCCACACATAAACCTTTATAGAAGAAGAAATGTGAAAAAGAATCTGCGTGAATTTAGAACAAAATTTTGACATGCGGCTTTGAGTGTGTTGGTGAAATAGCAATTTTTGTTTGAATGTATTGGAGTTTGCGTTAGTCGTGTCTGGTAGGGTACCCACTTGCTGGGGTAATTGGCACACTAACACAATCACGCTTTCAGCTCGCGTTTACTTGGGGTAGTGGTCACATATACACTCCTCGTCATTTGAATTGCACACCCTTTCAATTCTTAGTATTTACAGTTTTCCGTTTGTTTATTTAATATAAATTTTTTGTAAAAATATCGTCACTACATACGAATAAAGGCGCGCTGGTGTTTTGACGGTGAAAAAAGCGTTTAAACAAATTTTGCGAAAAAAGATGCTTATAAAAAACTTTGGCGAAGTATGTTAAGAGTATTTGACGCTGAAATTTTTGTATGCGTCTTTTTTCGCCGTCAACTTTTGAGCTCGCGCCTTTATTCGTGTCTCGTGACGATATAGCGTATTCTACGGGTAAATGCAATTTTAAAATATTTTACAAACTAAAACTTAAAAGAAAGTTTATTTTCCATTTCTTGGGCAGCATTTTATATGATTTTTTCGTTTTTCTCGAGAGCTGGAAACAGTTCTTAAAAAAGATCAACATAGTAGTGTGCCATCCTAACGACCTGCAGTGAATAAGTTAATAATATTTTTAGAAAAATTTCTGATATGCAGTTTTGTAGCCCATTCAATTATAGTGTAATTAAGTGCAAGTTTGAAGTGATTCTAAAACAGCCCCGATTTTTCAAATTCATTTATTTTTTATTGACAGTGCTGCGCATTTTATTCCATATAAAAGTTTTGTCGAGCATACTTTGTATGAGAGAAAATGCGCAGCACTATCACCAAAAAAACTGTCAAAAATCACCGCTATTTTACAGACACTTGAAACTTGCACTTTATTGTACCCCTTTGTTGACATTTTTTTAACTCTGTATAAAGTTTTAAAATCGGATGTAATGAATATAAAATAAACAAAATTAAAAGTGTAAATACTAAATATTAAAAAGTTGAGCTATTCAAATGACGAGGAGTGTATGTGGCGTACGTTTGGGAGAGTGAGCCTTTTTACTCCAGAATGCGTGTGCAGTGGCTCTCATTGCTATACATGCATTAGTAAGATTTGTTGCCCCCTTCCCGTTTGCCCATGATTTTCCCCTGATCCAGCCCGCGAAATAGGCACGCTTGCCCATACGGGCAAAAAAGCCCATACGGGCAAAAGTGCCCATGTCTGCTTTAAACTGCAATAACTCGTAAACTATCTGCTTTCACAAAAAAAATTATATATAAAAATTGGTTATACTGGTTGATATCTTTACGAAAGTGCAGCATTTAACCCTTTGATGCAGAGTCTATTATGTATGAAACGCTTTTTAACCCTTTCAAGGCGGAGGAAAAATGTTCTCAATATGTTTTTAACGTGCTTTTTCTCATGTTGACGTAGATATTAATCGTAGAAAATTTTTCCATAGTAAAATAATAATAAAAAAGATAAAATAAAAAATAATAAAAATATTAAAAAAAAAAAAAAAATAAAAATAAATACAAATTGTTGTTGAAAACATATTGAGAACCATTTTGCCTCTGCCTTGAAAGGGCTAAAAAGCGTTTCATATATGACAGATTCTGCATTAAATATAGTGTTTTCTAATAGAATGGGAGCCAAAATCCAAAATTAAAAAAAATGACATTTTGAACGGTAGTGTGAGGGTTAAGTTATTTTTGTTGTAACTTCTCTATAGTGTTCCTACATTATATGATCATTTATCTTCACGAAAAACAAATTTTCATTCCATTATCTCTTTTCTAATCGAAGATCTACGATTTTGAAAAAAAAACTCGTGTTTTGCCTATAGTGTGCCGTTCAGAATGGAGGTATCACAAAGGTCAATCTCAAATTGTCTAAGTGAGCTCCGGTTATACGGGGCTGCCACCTAACTTAACCTAACCTAACCTAGGTGTGTATGTAGGTATCAGCTGTTTTTCGAACTCAGCTGTATGAAGGAAAACAAACTGGAAAGGAATTAAAAAAACCTCATCATGTGCTTGTTTATAGAAAATTTGATTGATTTTAAATATTTTGAGGAAACTTATGGATTCTGATGCTTTTGCAGTTATAGCAGCAGAGTAAGAGCGCGCTATGGCAATGTACTCACAAAGGTATGCGGAGCTGCCGGGCATAGTAACCATGGGCGCATCAAGGTCAGCTTCTGGTTGAACTGTTGAACCACAAGACAGAACTCCTCCTATGCCTGAAGAACTGGTTCCCAATCCAGTTAATGCAACAACCGCTTCTTCCAAGCCATTGAAAACGCGCACTTTGTTAGGTCCACCACCTATTGCGCTTGATTCTGCCTTCGGCCGCGCTTAGGGATTATAACCCTTACTAAGTAGAATTCGCCTTGGAACAAATGCAGTTAGGCTCCAAATCTCAAAAAAAAAAAATATTGGAATCGATAGAGATGATTGAGCTGAGTATAACGGTATACTTCTTTTTTTGGGCAAACAACAACAACAAAAATTATCAAAGGTTAAAGTTCAAAATAAGCAATTTTTGAAATCAAGATTTCTTAAAAAA